GCTCAGCTCAACTCCACAGATAGCTGCAGACCTTCCCTTCCTTGGGAAGCTTTCCCTGCCAGTCCTTCTCAGGCACCAAGGCCATGCTTACCATACCACTTCCCACAGTGCACTGGGGCTTCCTCCTGTGTCACCCAGGAGCTGTCAGTCCTTGCAGGGCCATAGCATTGTCCTTGCCTGGGAGGCTCCAGTCTTGAATTCTTGGTCCTTATTACCCAGAAGTGACTTAGGAGGACGGAACAGAGAAGATGTTGGGGGCAGGAACCCAGCTTTTCATATGATAGGTCAGCTGAGGTCAGGAGAACTTGGGAGGTTTCCTAGGCTCACCCAGCAAATGACCGTAGTTAGTATGACAACCTCTAGGCCTTGAGAGAGGGTCCTGCCTCTCACCCCTCTCGGCCTCGCTTGTGCTGGTCCCTACTTTTTGCTCAGGTGTGGACAGCTCCACAGGGCTCATGCCACATCCCCATGCAGCTTCAACTCGGACTCCACACATCATGCTCTCGCTTCCAGCCAGAGGAAAGGCCTGCGGGCTCTCAAAAGCCGTGACTGGCTTCTTCAGCTGCCCGCTCCACACTTGGTGGTTGCTTCTCATTGCGGTGCTGTTTGCGCCCAGGCCTTCCTTGACCACAGCTCGTTCTGGCAGAGGAGCTCTTTTCTCCCTTTGTCTCCAAGCCCTGTAAGCACAGGCCCCCTCTGAACTGAGCTGCCCCGCACAGGCTGTCTCATGCCCTCTGTGACTAGCACTGTTTGGCACGTGACAGGTACCTACTCAATGGCTGCTCACTGCCCAGCCCAATGAGCAGTGTGTCCAGCTGGCACACTAGGCACGGTGCCAAGGGTTTCTTCAAGGCTTCTGTGCTCTGTTCAGCTCTAATCGGCTTTGTTTGGTGCCTTCCACCCTAGCCATCAAAACCGCTAGTCCCCGCATACATGCCCTTACAACACTGTTTGCCCTAACTGAGACTCTGTGGCATTTGGGTCCTCCCAGCACATGATGCTTGCTAGCCACAGTGACTGGTGTCTGATAAGGAGACATGGAGATAGAACAGTGCTTGCTGCCAGGGATTGGAGCACCTTTGGTAGAGTTGGGGCAAAGCGACCAGCTATGAGAAGCCTCTGGGAGGACGCCTCACAATAAAATGTCTCCAGGCATTTCTGAGCCCATTTGACTCACAAAGACAGAGGACAGAGCCTTAATGCCACCCTTGAGATTCTGACCCAGCAGGCCAAGGGCCCCACAATTTTCCTCTGTCACAACTTCCAAGGGTTATACATAACTTGAGCAGGACAGGGTATAGTCCTCAAGGGCTTAAGAGGTCCAGGCTACCTGGTCTCCCCAAGCCTCTGGCCTGCTCTGTGTGTGAGCACTCTCCAGTGTGCTGTGTATGGATCTGTCTGTTCCCGGTGTCTTCTCAGACAAGGAGTTCAGATGTTTCTTTACTTTGCCTAAGGGAAGAGAAGCCACAGGCTAGCAATGGGGGTGACAGTGCACTGACCCTGGGCAGCATGGTTTCTTTCGTCTCTGGGGCTGGCACAGAGAAAATATGATTGTTAGAGAGAAATTAGGGTCACATCTTATGCTCCAATAAGCCAGATTCAGATGTCAGTCCCTAGTATGACAATTAAAAGAACCAAATTAGAAGCTGGAGTGATGGCTCAGTGGATAACACCACTTGATGTTTCTATCAAGGACCCGAGTTTGGTTCCCAGCACCCACATAGCTGCTCACAGACATATGTAGCTCCAGTTCCAGGAGATCCAATGCCCTCTTCTGGTACCTCCAAAGGTACCATGCATGCATGTGGTACACATACATACAAGTAAAACACTTATACACATACATGCAGGCAAAACACTCATAAAGTAAAAATACATTTAAAAAAATTTTAAGAGCCAATTTAACATAAAGATCAGGAAAAGGTAATTTATTCAGCTTGGCCACATTGGGAAGGAGGGACAAAGAGATCAAGTGACCCTTCCAAGTTCATCTTTGGGGCCCTGCCATGAGGGCAGGTTTAAAGAGAGGCCAGAATTGTAAGTACCCAAGCAGTCCTGTACAAGGTGTGGTCCTGCCCATCATGGCCCTTCATTGTTTGGGGCCCACTGTCCTCAGGGTCTGACAAGTTGCAGAGCTCTTTCCTGGGGAAAAGTCCCTCTGGTTGGCTCGGGTTCTAGGCTTCTTTTCAGCAGGAGATCCTGGGGAATTCCTAGTTTCTTGGGGTCCATGTTTCAATAGTCTGACAACCAAGGGGAGGGACACAGAGTCTGTTTAGAATGTCTTCATCCTTGCCAGCCTGGCTTCTGCCAAGTGACTTGCCTGCAGTCTCTAGGAGCAGAGTAACAGAGCAAAGACCAATGGGAGTTCAAAGGGTCGCAGCTCATGGAGGACTTCACAATGTGAATGTTACCTTGGTTGCTGTCATGGGTGTTAGGCCTCCAGAGGCCCAGAAGAACCTTGTGGGATAGAGCCTTGGTTCAGTCACCATTCTCAGAGGAGGTAGCTTCATGCCAGGCAGGCTCAGATTGGCACACACTTGAGCCACAATGCCAAGTTCTGTCCAAATTATTTACTTCCATGAGCACTCAGGGCCCAAGACTTCCATGTGGGACACTGGGAGGCTGTCCTGCCAACAAGGCTCTATAAATTCCAGAGAATGCTGCTTAGTGGAAGAAGTTGGGCTTAGCAGTAAGCAGGCTCTCCTCCACCTTTTGGTCACATGTACCTCCATCAACTTGCCCCTCTGAGCCTGTTTTCTCATGGATGTCATGGCTCTAACCACACCTTGAGGTTGCAGTGGCCAGACCCAGAGCTCAGTTCAGGCATAAAGACAGGCCCAATGGCAGAGTGAGATGGACCTTCAGTGCATCACAGTGTCCCTGGGCTTGAGACTGCACTATTGATTGAGCTTTGCCTGTAACCAGGCTCTGTGGAGGGTGCTGACCCTGGGAGGGTTGAGAACGGAGTACAAGCTGGGCACACCACTCTCAGATAGGCGAGGCAGAAGCTGCTGGTCCCACCTCCCAGCAAGGCCAGAGGAAGCTGGGAGTGAGGAGACCCAGCTCACACAGGGATGTGAGAGCAGGCCAGGTTGCTTCTCAGCCTACTGCTGTCTATCACTTCAGGCCAGCCCAGGTTTCTGGCTGGCTGGAGTAGAGCAGGAGTGGATGCTGGCAGTGGTGTGCTGAGTCAGGGAGTCCATATGTGCATCCTCTACCTTGGGATGCGCAGGCCATAGTGGGCACTCATGAGCTGGACTGGTTGGGTCTGTTATACTGTCTTCAACAAAATTCCTATTTACTAAGCACGTGCTTCTTGCCGGGAACTTAACCTTCACAGTTCCCCACTGGAGAGCACACACTCATCTCATGTTTTTAGCACCTGTCCACAGTCCTGACCTTTACTGGTTTTTATTATACTATGGAATAATAAAGGCCTTGCCAGCCTTTCCGTGGTAAAAGTGGGACATTGAGAGAGCAGGCCAATGCATCTCTGGCCTTGGTCAGCCCCTCCCCAGTGCAGCTCTTACATGCTCCAAAGGCTGGCCACAATGATCAGTTTGACTGGTCCTTCCAGAGCCCCGTGCTTCATAGTATGCAAATGTGTCCCAAACTTCCTCCTTCTCTCCCCCGCAGAGGGACAGGCAGAGGGAAGTACCCCAGAAAAGGAGGCCAGCAGCCAGCCCGAGAGCAGTGATGCAAACACCTCCTCCTGAAGAGAGACCTGCTGTCCCCTCCTGGAACTGGAGCCCTGGCACAACCCAGCAGCCTCTCCTCTGAGCCTATAGCCCAGGCCAGCCAGGCCAACTGAGAGCCTTGTGGAGGCCTCTGTGGCTGTACTCCAGCAAAGTCGTCTGCCCACACCCACAGGCTTCACTCTCCCTCCACCTCCCCATGGTACCCAGGTACACCATCACCACGGGATGTTATTTATTCAGCTGGGGGGGGGCGGGGCTCGAGCCAGGCTCTGCCCCCCAGGTGAGCAGCCCACATCTGGACAGGGTCTGTCCCCACACCATTCATTCATCCCTCCAGCCAGCTGCCTATGTTGGAAAGATCGTCCTAGCCCTTTTTTAAAGCCTCTTTTACATTTTTTAAAAACATAACTTTTTTCAGCAGAGAAGGGGGAACTGACAATCACTTTTTTCTGTTTTGGTTTTGGTTTGAAAGCCGTTTTAAGCTTAGCTCTGATGATCTATGCAGCTCTGTTCCCCCATGGAGCCTCACAGATCCAGTTGTAGGGAAAAGATTTGGACTCAAAAATAACTGACCAATTCTTTGCCCTTTGTACCAAGAGAGTGATACTTAGGTCCCAGGAAATAAATGCTGATGATTTGTGTGACTGGCTTAAGATTCCTTCTTTTAACCACCAAATGCCCAGCTGGGCTTTGCGCGCACACACACACACACACACACACACACACACACACACACACACCCCAGCCAGCATGGTTCCAGTGCTGCCCTCTGTCCTGTAGTGACCAGTACAACTCCTCAGGTGGCATCTGATGAGCCCCACCCCACCCCATCCTCACACAGCCCACGGCTACCACAGCCTGGAAGGGGCCTGGGAGAGGGCTCAGTGTGTAAAGGTACTTGCACCAGGCCTGACAACCTGAGTTCAGTCCCTGGGACTGAGACAAGTTGTCCTCTGAAATACACATGCTCGGTGGTAGCTTACAACTATCTAAACCGTAGTTCCAGGGTATATGGTGCCCTCTTCTGACCTCTGGCACCAGGCACACACGTGGTGCACATACATGCAGGCGAAACACCCATATACTCAAAAATGAAGAAATCTTAAAAATAATAAAAATAACTGCAAAGGACTCGGATTAAAGGAGCCAGGAGTTGAGGAGCATCTGCTCAAACAGTTCTGGAAAAGTCACTTGTGGAGTTTGGTCCTGGCTCCTCCCAGCCCAGTCCCCAGTGTGGGGCCCCAGGACTCTTCATTCTTAGCCACCCCAGCCCCAAGACCACATTCACCACGTGCTGCAAGATACCAGTCACCAGCTGCTTTATTGAACACCAGGTTTTCAGCCTTAGAAGGAAGGTTTCCAATTCATACCCACGATTGGCAAGGCCCCTGGGCCCTGGCCAGAACACCCGATCAGAGGACAGACCTGGCCACTCCACGGTCTGGAAGGAATGAAGGTAAGTGTCGTAGAGTTGTGAAGACTCCATCCACAGGCTGAGGCTCAGAAGTGGCCTTGCCATCTTCAGGGAACCTGCCCTGCTGGTCAAGCCAGAGAGACAGAAAGGTCAGACCACTCAAAACTCATAAGGCATTGGGAAAACACAGAATTCCAGGCCCAGAGAATGACTTCCTTCCACAGACAGCAAGACGGGCTGCAAGGAAGGGAATGTGAGGCTTTCCAGGGCCATATGAAGGGACTCCTGGAGCTAGAGCTGGGCCAGCTCCTTGTTCGGGTCACACCCCAGCCTCCCTGAGGGTTAGGAGTCCTCAGAAAGCCTGTCAGATGGTAGCTGCTCAGGAATGGCCTCCCTGACAGTTGGCTGCCTGACAACTGTGCCCAGAAAACAGGCAGTCCTCAGTCTCAGCGCTGTCTCCTGCTCCCCCAAGGACTTCTGCCACAAGCCACACAGAAAGTTAGGGACAGGGTGGGGTTGTAACTGCGCCCCTGCAGAGGTGTACCCCTCCCCCAAGGACTTCTGCTATGAGACATACATAAGGTAGAGGGGGGACAGGGTGAGAGTTACTGCACCCCTGCAGAGGTGTACCCCTCCCCCAAGGACTTCTGCTATGAGACATACATAAGGTAGAGCGGGGACAGGGTGGGAGTGGCTGGGCCCTGCAGAGGTGTACCTTCAGCCTGTGGCGACCATTGGTATTCTCTGTAGAGTCGTTCCAGAAGCTCCTTCTTCTCTTCCTCGGGGAGGAAGCACGACTTGGCCGCATTGATGTTCTAGAAGGGGAGACACGGAGTTGAAGAGCAAGGAAAGGAGTGGCCTCGTGGACCAGGGCAAGGGGCTTGCATTAGGCCACAGGACAGCATGAGCTGTGGCCGGGACCACAGGCCCCATACTCAGTGCGGATGTGGGGAGGTCGGATGTGGGCAGAGGCCCTTGCAGGGATTCACTCAGGACATCAGAGCCCAAGACCAAGGTCTCAGCCGAGGAGCAGCCTAAAGGGCAACAAAATTTCCACAGCCAGACACCTTTCTGGGGAGAGGCATCAACCCGAGCAAAGGCTAAGCCACCTGGTCCCTCAGCTGGGATGCCAGTGCCAAGGCAGCTCTGTGAAGGCTTTTGGTGCTTGGCTCGGCTTGGCATGTCAGGCGAACCGACTGTGGGTCTCCAGAGGTTCCAGGCAGTCCTCACACAGACACCTGGGCCAGTGTCAGGGCCGCAGCTCACACCTACTCACCAGTCGCTTGAACTCCTCCTCAGTGAAGCCCATGTCCCGTTTGGTCATCTGGTAGTCAGTGTCCAGGGTGGACTTGAAGATGAGCGGGTCGTCCGTGTTGAGTGAGTAGTTGGCCTTGTCTTTCTTGAAGCTGGGGGAGGAGCCGGCAGAAGAAAAGATCTCTTTACTCCGAGAACCATTGCCCAACTTCCCCCTTCGACCTTTACACAACCTTGGACAACATGAAGGGTTGTGTTCTGGTACCGAGGAGGACACTAGAAAACCCAGGAGCTGATCTAAAGCCACCCTGCCAGGCCTGAAGCAAAGGCTTCCAGAAGCATGGCCTCAGGTGACAGCCAGGGAGAAGGGCAATTTGGAGAGCCCGGAAAGCAGCCGCCGCCCAACTGTCTTCCCTCTAGGCTTCCCCCTCTCAGTACTGGAGCATGTCTGGCACCCTGCCTTCCTCTCCCGGGCAGTCCTCGGTTCCTCATACGGCTCTTCAGCACACCACATAAACTTCCTGGCACAACCCTGCCCACCATCTCACTGAGCTTGACTGTGTTACCTCCAACCTTATTTGCTCAGATAGCAGTATTCAACACCCTTTTTTTGTTGTTGTTTTTTGTTTATTATTTATCTCATTTCATTCATTCATTCATTCATTCATTCATTCATTCATTCATTCATCTATTTATTATGTATACCGTGTCCTGCCAGCATTCATTCATTCATTCATTCATTCATTCATTTATTATGTATACAATGTCCTGCCAGCATGTATGCCTGGATGCCAGAAGAGGGCGCTAGATCCCATTATAGATGGTTGTGAGCCACCATGTGGTTGCTGGGAATTGAACTCAGGACCTCTGGGAGAGCAGTCAGTGCTCTTGATCTCTGAGCCATCTCTCTACCACTTCTAATTTTTATTTGTTTATGGTGTGGATGCCATGGTGTATGTGTGGAGGCCAAGGGACACTGTGGTATTGGTTTTCTGCCTCTACCATAGAGGTTACTGGGTTTCCATGCTTTGTGGCCGGCGCCTTTACACACTGAGCCATCTCTCCAGTCCCAGAACTTGACACTTGACTCTTCTCAAAGCACCAATCTTGGATTTCTCTGACACCATACTTTTTAAAGCATTATTTAAAATTTTGGTTTTTGTTTTCTGTTTGTGTGTATGCCCATGTTTATGGACGCACAGGGCTAGAGGAAGGCTTGGCTGTCTTCCTCATTCTCCATCTTAGTCCTTTGGGTCAGGGTTTCTTGCGGAATCTGAAGTTCACTATTTTGAGGCCAGCAAGTTCCAGTAATCCTCCTGTCTCCACTCCACTCCCTAGCACTGAGGTCACAGGTGTGCATGGCCATGCCTGACTTTTTATGTGGGTGCTAGGAATCTGAACCGTGGTCCTCATGCCACACGGCAGACACTCTTACCCACTGAGTTGTCTGCCTAGCCTCTAGCACCACGCTTTTGACTTTCCTTCTGTTTCTACCTGTCCCTTAATGTCACTGTTGTGGGTTCTCTCCCTGGTCCTCTTGATCCACCACCTCCCAGAGGCTTTGTTCTTCAACCTTTGTATTTGCGTAGATGACTTGAACCTTTAGCCAGCGTGCTATAGACCCATGTGTCTCCTAGACCTATCACTGGTGTCTCAGGGGCACCGTGCCCCCATGTGCTAAGGAAGCCCAAGAGCCTCGTCACCAGAGCACACTCCTTCCATCTGTGTGAGCTTGGCTGGCAGAGCAGTGGCAGCCCAAGTTTTGCCATATGTATCCTGCCTTAAGAGAAGACGGCTTTGTCCTCATGAGCCCTGGTAAGGACCTGGTCACAGCCCCGGAAGGCCATGTTCTTAGTTGCTGATGGGAGCCAGGTAGTATGGGATTCTCTAGCTGATGGGAGCCAGGTAGTATGGGAGAGATGCTCTGGCTGATCAGAGCCAGGTAGAATGGGAGAGATGCTCTGGCTGATGGGAGCCAGGTAGTATGGGAGAGATGCTCTGGGGAAAAGCTTCAAGCTGGCATTCAGGGGATGCTCAACAGCACCAAGAGGAGCAAGCACCCAGACAGATGAGACTCCTCTTCCCACAGCCCAGAAGACAGTGGGGTGACAAGAATGTAGAAGCTTCCCTTAGGCAGGGCGTTCTGCCGTGGCTGATGAACCATGGGACCCCAGCGCTATTAGTTGGGTCTGTAAATCTGAGCTTCACATTCCTCATTTGTTGGACAAGGACAGAAATGCCTGCTTCCCAACCAGTCAACGTGACTTCATTACTAAGAACCAGGATGACCAGGTACCCATTCTTGCACTCCCTCCCCTTCCTTTCCAGAAGAAAACCAAATGGGTCCCAGGAACCAGATCTCACCGGACAACTGCATGCTCCGTTTTGGGATCCCAGGCGCCTGTGAGATAGCTGGACCAGGGGCAGACCTGCAAGAGGCAGGTGTGTGGCTGACATAGTGGGCCCCAGGCCATACCCAGGGGCCAGAGCCACCTGCTGTGGCACCATTCTTGCCCGCTTTGCCAAGACCTCCTTGCTTCAGGACCCAGGAAACTGCCAGCATCTGGCCCCTCCCACTCAGCCTGCCTATCCTTCCACCTCTGTCCTAAAGGCATGGGGTAGCCAGAGGCAGCGCCCAGCCTCAGACCCTCACCTCAAAGTGCATGTTTTCTTGTAGTAGCCTCTTGTAGAGGGCCTCATCCTCCAGTGTGTGGTAGCCATGTCCTACCCTGTCTGTCTTGAGTACGTCCACAGCCTGTGGAGAGGCAGAGAGGAGCTGAGTCTGGGAGCAGGATCAGAATCAGGAAGAAGAGGCCCAGGGTCCCTGGTTCCTTACCTCTCGCACGACTTCAGCAGAGCCCGCCTCCCCAGCGTGGACGGTGCGGTGAATGCCACTCTTCACAGCCCCCTGGAAGGGAAAGAGACAGGTTGGGGGTAGCTTTCTAGGGTAGGTCCCTAGAAAGCACTGTCTTTGCCACACTTGGGGGGGGGGGCTAAGTTTTAGCAGGTGTGACTGTCCTCAGAGTCAGGCTAGGCTGCTTCCCTAAGTACATGGTGTAGCCTGGCTTCCCAAGTCATGAATAGAGTGGTAACTAGCCTTTACCCTGCAGCCCCCGTGCACTGAACCTGTTTGAAGGGTTTAAACGCATTGTCTAATACTCTAAAGCAAACTAAGACTATTTCAGGGTGGAGCTTAAGAAATTCAAGTTACACAAGAACCAAGAAACGAGGCCCAGAGAAGAAGCAGTTCTGTCCAGAGTCACACGGGACATCACAGGCACGTGCAGAC